TGCTGGGATCATTTACTGTCATCCAAGATGTTTGTTTTTTTAAAGACAATATCCTATCAAACAGGTTTTACTCCACTGTATGCAGAATTCCATCTGTTCAGGGTATATTGCCAGCACAAAAGAGACTTAGTGGGATACGTGTTACCTTACACCTCTGTGGTGCCATCAACAGGACTGCTCAAAGTTTCAGTCTTAAATTGTGTAACCCTGTTGTAATGGATGGGTTACGCCTGTGCCACAGGAATCAAAGTTAACTGTCAAGACCCGTACTGACTGATACGCAAAATGGAAATAATTGAGTTAGATTCAACCTAGGCTCAACCTGCCTAGATCAGACTTCATGAACACGCTTCACTTTGAAGTTTAACATGCTTGATGAAAAGAGAAACACTAATGTAGCAAGTATGGGATGTTACAATGGCATTTTTACAGTTACTTCAGTGTAGAAGTGTTTTTTAAGTTAACTTAAATATGCATTCTTTCTTTTTGCATCACTGCTAAACGGTAGAGGTCAGGGACGTAGTTCTGGTCTCTGTTGTGAACCTGCACATCGCTCTAGTCATGAAACTACCTGTGAGCTGTGTCTGAGAGTAGCTGATTTTCTGACATGCAAAATGATGTATACCGGTACAAGAACAAGGTCAAGTCCCAAGAGAGTAAGTGGCTGCAGGCATTTCTAGTGCCTACTGAATCATATTTAAACCAAATAGAGGGGAGGAAGTTATTTGAAATTCTAACCGACTGTACTATCTCTATGGTGTATTATTAATGTAGCTTTTTTGAAGTGGAAGCCTTGAAATGACATAACTTAATACTTGAAAATATATTGTAAATGTTTCTTTGTAATTATGTGCCATCCAGATGAGAATACAATATCATAATAAAATCAGACTTGTTGATCTTTCAATTTATGGGCTCAAATGTTTTTTCATCTTTTTCTTGCTTTAATTGAGTGGTTCATTACACAAAATGGGAAAACAGGGGAAATGCTGTTGCTCTATCCGTGTGGGCCATCTGTTGGACAGGATAAAGTGGATGAGAGTACACAGGAGAAAGGTTCTTACTCATCTGTCTTTCATGTTTGTGGTGAGGACAAAACAAAGGCGTTATTCCTTGAAACGGAAATAGAATTGTACTTCTGAGAATCACCACTCCTTGTATTTTTCAGTTGTTTTTCTTAATATTATATTAATGTGGCTGGCTATGTTTGATGAATAAACCATGGAGGAGCAGAATACTTCCATAAATGCTTCCGTGGTCTATTGGCATCTTTCTCCTTTCTGTCCCATTTTTAGGTTCTAAAGTTTGATGACTGGTTAATAATATGCTGTTAAACCATAATCTTTCATCAAATTGTTATTTCCACGCTAAGCACTGGAGTGAGTGTAACAAAAGGTTTGAGGGTGCTGAAAGGACAACATTTTTAAAGCTCTGGAGTGAGCCATGCGCTGTACTGGGTGATTTCTGTAAATCTTAAACGCTTTTATCTGTTGAGAGCAGTTTCAAATAGTGTGCTGGCTTTCTAGCATCCAGCCGTTCTAATGCAGGTAGTCTGCAGCTTGATAAAAAGGAACATTTAACAGAAAACATTGCTTAAAAATTTAAAAGAATATTGGCATGCTCTGCCTTTTTGGCCTCTAGTTGTAGAAAATACCCTGTTCAGCATTGAAATTTGTGCTTGTTAAACTGTACGTACCACAGAACCAAGCGCCATCAGCATTAAACCCCATGGCTACGCTACCTTCATTTTCTAGTATTTCTCCACCCCACAGCCGCTTGGAGACTACTTAGCATTTAAATAAGAAACAATTTTATGCTCAGTTCTCTGTTAGTCCTTTACAGTTTGATTCTGGTGCTGTGACTCTTAGTAGCATTCTAAACTAACTTCTCTTTCCTCTGAAGAGCTTAGCAGCGTCTGAGAGGAAAAAACAAATGGGCGCTTCTGCGATCTCTGGCTGCCTAGAGAGATGGTATTAACGTAAACACAGGGAACCATCGTCCAAAACTTGGTACATCTCTTGGTACTTCCAGATCATCAGATTTCTCATGCCACTTGTCAAAACCGTAATCTGTTTTTCCTGTGAAACACAGATATCAGTTGCAAAATGCAAAGGCCTTTTGTAAATTTACTTATTTTTCAAAAAACTTCTATTCTCTGGAGCTTGGAGTTAGAGGTTTTCTGCTAGAATCAACAATACTGTTTATAGGGTTATACTTGCTGTTAGTTAGGCTGTAAATGTCTGAAGGATATGTTAGGTACGGGGGTTGTTCAAACGGGCTCTGTGTTTAAAGAACACCCTGTGTAAAACTGCACATTGGCAGTAGCCAAGTCTACAGTTTTTCACCCATTTTAAGTGGGACATGTAGATTTGGAGAAATAATTCTGCCTTTGCTCATTTGTAGGATGATGGCGGGAGCTGGACTAGGGCAGGTACAGGGGTGATGAGGGTGTGGAATAAATTGTAATGTTGAGATTCACTGACAAAGAAATGGTACATAGAGAAGATAACAGAAATGCTAAAAAAAGCACTAATTTTAATTCTTATCTATAGCCAGTCTCTTGGGGTTCATTTGGCAGTAGTTCAGACTTGAGAGTAGTTAAAAGTCCACCACTATAGGTTATATATGAGACTCATGCATTCTTCTAGGAATGCAATAAAAGCTATTGTTGTGATATTGGCTTCCTTCTACTCAAATAGTAGAAGAAGGGATACAACTAAAACCTGTTCTAATGCAGATTTTCCAACAGGGAGGCAGTATGTGCAAGGAGTTAGTTATGAATCCCTTGCAAACACTGGCCCAGAACTGGTAAAAGCTCATCCTTTGTCTTCTTGAGAGCTGTAGGAGGTACGTTGTACCTGTGTATGCAATGGAGAATGGAAGGAGTGTTTCCAGATTTCCTCAAGGGCACTCCTTCATGGGTGTGCACAGCAGAACTTACTGACAGCATCTTGGTGTC